TTTTCGTAATTCGGCTTTGTTTGTCGAAGCATTTGGTGTAAGTCGTGTCCTGTTCAATTTGTTTAAAATAAAACACTTACTAGGATGCTAAGGACGTTACATAACCAAGAAAATTTCTAACTCTTTGAAGTGCTAAGATATTGGGGCCGCTCGCGCAGTCGGTGTGGAAAATCGATGTTACCGGGATGCACTGACGTACCAGACAAAGTTATGCCAATGCCAATCCCCTATCTCAAGCCTTACAACTCCCATTTGCATCTACTACTCTCCTACGTATGTGCGCCATTTCTCCATCGGCTACTCGCGTGTTTGTTTTCATTCTTCCAGATACCATTTGTTAAAATACGACAATAAACAACTGTTAGTAAAAACATCGCCCGACCATCTCATTTCGCCCTTCTTCCCGTGCAAAACGCTTCTCACACTACTAATCTTATAAAAATTTTCGACAAAGGCATGGGGATCCCCCGCAGAACGTCCCGAGCAAAAATACATATTATCTTGGCAAATTAAGAAGGGATATCGTAGGTGACAGATCAGTGCAACAGACTCCGAGAAATTGGTGCGGAGGAGATGAAACAAGGCAACAGTGCCAACTGGACTATGACAGCGAACCGACTAACAGTACAAATGATTCGTTAATATGTTTCCTAAGTGCACAAAACAAGCCAACTGCATTCGGCCTTGATGGTCCAATCCGAGGATCTTCGCAACGAAAATGGCATTAGAAAAAAAAAAAATTGAATAGGGGGAGAACCCGAAAAATGGGGCAGTGTTACCTCTGCAGATAAATCAGATAGGAGTTAAAGGAGGAAGTCGAGAACCATAATAGGGAGCAATGGCAGAGGTTGTTCAAAAAACAAAGGACTGACGAAAGAAGCCCCACAACGTTTAACCGAATAGATTGGAGGAAACACGAAGGAAACTTTAAGTGGATCTGTCTACATTATGTCCAGACTTCCCAGCACCCACAATTGGTTATACCCAGAAAAAAACCCTCCAATGTTTGTCAGAAAGGGCAGGTACGCAGCTCTTCAAATACATGTGGAAAAGTACCGCCACTGCTGGCAATGACATCGAACTCATCAGATCTGGAAGGCATAAACACTGGTAAGCTCTCGCCATGTGGCCGGTCGGAACTTGGCTGGAAGGAGAATACTCAGCAGGTAGAAAGACCGAATCTATTCTACTGCACAA